TGCCAAATTTTTGTTGCCCATGATCACAATGTTTGCAAGTTTTGTGCAAACGTATTTTTGTTGTTTGCAATTTCCATTGTTCCTTTGGCTAGAGTAAAGTTCAGCAACCTTTAATTCCTTGTTTACGCCACTTTTACTCACAATCATAGTTAATTTTTATGGTTACAGTGCTTGATTTTGAATAGCGATAACTAATGACACACTCAAGCATTTTTTTTTCCAAACAGATAGTTATAGAAGGTCTACTTCTCAGCTACAATAATCAAATATAAACGTACTCTTTCGTGGAATTACTTTACTGCTAGTTTTCATCCACATTTACCTTTTGGAATTTTCAATAGCAGTTGCTGTTTGGAGAACGTATCTGAACAAGCCTTGAAATGCTTCTCCTATCTGCTTGTTATATAATTTTGCAACTTTCTTGATGTTTGTTTGCCCTTCTTTTGCTATGTCCCAAAATGAACGGTAGCATATGAGTTGCAGGGAAATTTTTGGATTTTCGTCTATCGTACCTAAAGATAAAATCAATGATAGAGTAAAAATTAGTCAAGCTCTCTTAGTTTGCTTCTTCTTCATTTTCCATTACTTTTCATTCATTGTGTATTTGTCCAACATTTACTCAACAGATGCTTTGGTAATTAGCACGCTTGTTTACAATGTCCCTGCATTTCAGTTCAACGCTTGTCTTTAGGTGGACTTTGGCCTCTGGACAGCAAAAAAATTTATTTTGAGGATGTCGTCTTCTGATGAGGACGCCTTCCCCGTCGAGCGAGAGGCTGCCATGGAAGCCATCGGAAAAATGATCGATGCCGAAGGCCTCGAAAAGTTAACCAGTTCAAAGATTCGCGCGCATCTCGCTGTACGCTCGTTTTCACCCTAATCTCGAAAAAACCTCGTATATTCGCACCCGCTCTCATTTTTCTAGTCGACGTTCAACAAGGATTTTGACGATTTCCGCAAAGAAGTGGACGAATTGACAAGGGAGACGATTGAAAGGAGGGAGAAAAGCAAGGAAGCGCCGCCGGTAAACAATGGAAATGGTAAAGAAGACGAGAGGTAAGATTGTTAGATAATTCTGTTTTTCTTCTTCCAGAAAAGGGGGAGAAATTTCTACTTATAATGATTTAGAACCAAGGAACCAAGCAAACCGGCGCCGTCTGACTCTGATAGCGACACTTCAGATGATGTGGTAGATGACAGAAGAGCATCGACGAAGAAGAAGAGGTCGCGGAAAAGAAAGGTTACTTTCTATTCTAGGCAAAGAGTGATATTTGTTATGCAAATTTGTTATGCAAACCTTCCCAAAGTTTTTATCTAATTTTTGTAAAACAAGTGTAATGGCGAAGCAAAACTTCATCTGAATAT